TGCGAAAATGCACTCGGACATTCAGCTGTACAACTCTTCAAACACAAAATTAGTCAAATGGCCAAAAACTCCTGGATGGAGATTGTGCAGATGTGAATGAAGGACTCTGTCTACTTAAAAGTGTGGTGCTTTCTTCATGAAAGATTTGTGGTCAAATGGCAGATGCAGGGACAGAGCGGAGACTCTGGCAGGAGAAAACTTGTATGGTGACGTATACTGCAGCCAGAGGGTTTTCCCAAGAACTCTGCACCTGTGTCTCATGGACTATGATGGATTGAGTATGTGGGCCATTGAGTGATACTTGCAATTATAGATAGACGCAGCATTATAAGATGGGGGGCAATTGGACATGAAGACCTCTGCCCCTGTTTAACGATGGGCAGGTTCTCTTCACAAAGATGGCTTCTTTCACTCCTCCCTCGGACCAACATTCCTCTCTATCGAGGATGTGCACATCTTCATCCCTGAAAGTGTGACCGCTGGCCTGCAGATGAGTGTAGACTGCAGAGTCTTTTTGCAACTAGTTTTGGCTGTCACCAGTAAACTGGTTGATCCACTATGCAACGTTGCTGCTTGTTTGCTTGCAGCTCCTCAGACTGAAGGTCTTTTGGCAAAAGACAAAACATTTCATCAATGAAGAACCTGTCCAGAGGACCTGACTCAACCTTGTTAGATTTATCTACTTGGATTATTGAGCATGCATCAGGAAAGTGTTCAGGATGAATCTAGCACATTCAGAAGTATTTGTATGGATATATTTAGAGCCTAAATGTGTTGCCAAAATAAATCCCAAATACTGTTATAGATTGTTACTGCTTTCATTTAGATGCAGCATTAATATTTTAAATAGGTGTAAAATAAATAAAATGTTAAAATGTTCTGTTTGCTCTTATTTTATTAGACATCTGACAATTTATTTGATGGGTTTTTAAAAAAAACAGTTTTGAAAATTTCAGCAACTCCAATTCTTCAGAAGCAAAGCCAATGTTTTTCTAAATATTTGACATCCACTGAACATGATTTTTGCTATTTTCAGTCTGTTCAGCCATTTGTTAAAGAAAAACTCACTTTAATTGGCTATAGTATAATCTGTGACCATGAGTTTGTTGAACAAGTTTACCTATTATTTTGAGATATGTCCCAGTTTATCTCTTGTATACAAAACAGAGTATGGGCAGATCTGTCAGAGTAGATTCACAAATGCTTCTTAGGTTATTCAGTGTCTGTATTTCATTGAAAATGAGACCTACCAATTTACTTTTTTTTTAATTCAAATAACAAAACCCCAAACAATCAAATAATTTCAGTTTTATTGCTTAGTTGTCAGTTATGAGTTCAAACAACATAGCTTTCTCTCTTGAATTAACAGGGTTATTTTTTTTAACTTTGAATGATTCATAGACATAGAGTTGAAGTGTGTTATTACATGTCAAGAAAAAAATAATAAAAAAATTATCTAAAATTGTTTAAGTAAAGGAACTAGGCTAAGAATTTATGAAAATGAACAATATCTGAAAAAAATATCTGAAAGAGAAGCTAGTACAACGATGAGTCAGTAAGGGTGCATTCACACCAGCCCTGTTTAGTCCACTTTAATCAAACTCTAGTTCATTTGCCTAGAAAGTCTGGTTTGTTTGAAGAGGTGTGAATGCACAATTGAACTCTGATGTAGACCAAAAACGTGAACTCTGGTTCACCTAAATACCTAGGTCTCAGTTCAGTTGAAGTGAACTCTAAATGGAATGGTAAATGGACTGTACTTATATAGCGCCTTTCTATCTTATCCAGATACTCGAAGTGCTTTACACTATAATATGTGTCCTCATTTACCCATTCATACAGCACTCTACTAGATCTCTACAAAGCTAATTGAACAAATCATTCTAAAGAGACTAATCAGAGCTTTATCACGTTCATACACCGATGGGACACACATCGGAGGCAATGAGGGGTTCAGTGTCTTGCCCAGGGACACTTCGGCATGTGACTGCAGGTGGATTCGAACCCCCAACTCTTGCATTGGAGGACGACTGCTCTAACCACTCAGCCACAGCCGCCCACTCTAGCACGGCTTGAATGCAGTGTGAATGCAAGCAGACCAGAGACCACTCCAAAAGCAGGAAGTGGACTACAGCGCAGGGCATTCTGTGTAAATCCAACCAAAACAAATGTGGATTTCTCTTACCTCATACGGAGCCGTCGCAGCCACCTTGTGTGAAAAACAACATTCTCCATAGTCTTCTGCCTCATCTTCCACTCATGCTGCGTCCATTGTTGAAAAATGTTTGTTTAGCACATGAGCCACAGACAAAACAGAAATCCTAAAACCACTACAATTTGACGCCACTCCATTTTTGATTTTATTTCCAGAAGTAAGTTGTGCTCAGTGTCTTCTTCAGAGGTTTTCATGTCACTTCCTTCAGTAGTTCTTGGTGCAGCGCCACCACAGGCGGGGTGGGGGGGTGGGGGGAGACAGGTTGGCTCGGTTGACTCAGTGCAGCGTGAATGTGAATCGCACCAGCTGAAAATGTAAACAAATGTTCCGGATTTTGGTTCCCAATCGAACCGAGTCTACTGGACTATCATGTGTGAAAACGACCTAGAAGACCACATAAAAGTCTTTGAAATAACATTTAAGCAATAAAGGATGGCTTAAGACTTTTGCACATTAGTGCATGTATTTATGCCTGTTTTTGATATTTGTATCAGGCACTTTTTTGTAAAAGGAGGCTGATTTTGTTTGCTCTTACATTTAAATGCTGTTGAGTTTGTGCCAATTGGGAGAAAATGTTGCAGCCAGGGCTGTCATTTCAGGCTGACTCATGCTTCATTTCTCAACTTATGACTATTTCAGGAACATCAAAGAGGTTGAAACATAAAAGGTAAAGTTTGAAAAGTCTTCCCTATCAGAATATTTCATCTCATACAGAAAACAAATGGGGGAATCAATGTTGCGATGAAAGTGAGTCATTGGCCTTGCCTCTACCACTTAAGGCTGCGAGGGTAATTAATTTGTATTGAATAGGAAGTCAAATACAGACGTGGACACTCCCAGACTCCCCTAGCCATCATCTTACTGCTGAGCTTCTTTGGATCAAAAGGATTTCCTTTATCCCCTGCCCCCCCACCCCCCTGTAGTGTGCTGTCTTGTGTCTCAGCGCTGGCAGAATAATAGAGATCAAGGGGTCGCTGTTAAAGGCCAACAAATATGAAAGGCGTGTCACCGTAGTGCACATCTTTTGGTAGAGTTAACTTATTTTGCTGTCAAGGCTAGATAAATTAATTTTGGGTGACCAGGCTTTAAAACATTTACATGGTTGACAAAATAATTACTTAACGCAGATTTTGAAGCACCCCCCCCCCCCTTTTTTTTTTTTTGCTGTGGGTGTGGAACAAATTGTGAAGACAGCTCAATCAGCAACCTGAGGCGACGAGTATCAGACAAAATAAAAAAGTGATATATTGACTTAATTACTTTTCATATAACTATTAGACCTCATGCAAAACATACATTGTGCATGTCTGAGGTTTTAATAATATTGCTTTGCAGATTTTTCAAGCTGTGAATTTTAGTTTTTATTAAATGCATGCTGCGAAGTAATTTATTCATCGCATTTCTCACAATGATTCCCTCAAAGGCGGAGAGATCCAAAAATATCCAGGAGCAAAAAAATGGGGATTTGAAGTTTTTCTGTTTTATTATTAAAAGCCAACAGTTATTCATGACATTTGCATCCTAATAACTGCAAGATAAATTGGAACTAAGTTGGCACTCCAAACCTAATCTCCATAATGGGATTTATAGGCAAAAAGTGTTGCCTTTAATGCTTTGGTACACACAGAAGGGAGAGTAGTGTAGGCAAATGTGTCAAGAAGGCTGTTGATATATTCACATAAGCATCAGTATGCTCTGTCATGCCTTTCAGTGGCACAAAGATAGGAGGCGCGCAGATAACTGAGAAAGTATGAAGGTGTAATCTTTCAGTTGCCTCTGCTTTTTTGGCACTTGCCTCTTGATAGACTATACTTTGTGCTCCTATTAATTTCTTCCTCTCATTTTCTTTCAGCATGCTGATGGTGTGTAGTCAGAGGAAGCTGTGCCATTTGTCAGTTAAATGTACCAAGGAGAGCCAGTTTGAACAAAGGCTATACCTAATTTCCTTTATCCTTTCTTTATAAACAACATCCCAAGAGCAAACATTTATCTGCCGCATTATCAGAAAGAATCTCGGCTACCAGCGTGTTGGGGTTGTTAGAGTGTTTAGACAAATACGTACATTTCTCTTGATCAATTACAGGAAGTGTGTGCCTCATTTGATTTCACAACATTTTTGGAGATTTTATTTGAGTCAAAGCAGAGATGAATTACAGCTAAGTCCTTGAGAAAATCAATTATATGTCTCCAGAGGGACAGAAAATGGTTTTGAACTGCGTAGAGTCAGCTCTTTATTTAAGAAAAAACATAATTCAGCTCTGACGAATTCAAGGAGCTTGCAGAGTGCTTTATTACATACTAGGGCTATGTCTGACAACCATCCTGCCCTCTTTTTGTTTTGTCTCAGCAGGTTTGAGCTGAAGAAAGCAATCGCTTTATGATTCTCTTGCAGGCACAATGCATGTTATGCAATATTAAGCACACTTAAGTAAACTGCATAGCGTTGGGAAGTGCTCAGAGGATGTGCAATACGAAAAAGAGCTGCTATTAAATGATACATAGACCTGTTCATAAGGCCTAAATGCTACTTGCCAGGAATCTTTTTAGGTTTTATGACATCAGTGGGATTACTTTTATGTCATCAGCTTGCAAACATGGACAGTTAGTGTCCTTGTGAAAGCTGCACTTCTGATGAGACTTGTCCCCAGTGCTTCTGAATGCTTAATACTTCCCCCTTTCTTTTCTTTTTATTTGACAGAAGAACAGTGTAACTTCTGGAAAGGACAAAGCCAGACATACATACCTGTGATTGGATTTGAGCACGTTCTGACCTGAGACCATTAAAATGGAATTGCTGTGGAAACTTATAATGCTGCTGTCGTTGGTGGAGTGTCTGTCAGGTAAGTCATCTAAGCCTGCATTTCAAAAATTTTGTTTCATGGAACCTAAGACATATCATTTCTATTTCTTGTGATAATATCTGGAAAGTTTAAAATAAAAAATAATTAGAAATGAAATGGAAAAACAAAATTATTTTTTTACTTAGTTTACAAATATTAAAAATAATTAAAATTTTAGAAAATTATAATTATTTCAGTTGTGCAGAGCAACAGTCTCTTTGCTGAGAAGTGTTTCCTTTTGGAAACCAAGAATCAAATTATTTATTTTTTATGAAAGACTGCCACTACGTAGCCGTTTAATTTACAGTCATTAATTTTAAAAAGTGCCTCAGTTGTTTCCTTAATTGAGACTGCATTTCTGGTAGTACAGGAATCTTGCTATTGATCTAGCTTCTAATGAGAGAGCTAATTTTTCCTCACTTAAAAAGTGTTCAGAGTCAAATACAAGTTCTCTTCAAAATGTCAGAGACTGAAACTGAGAACAAGATGAATAAGAACTGTGTGGCATGAGAATATAGTGTCGGTGAAAGAGTAATCTTTCATGTCTCATGCCTCGTTCAAAACCAGCAGCCCCGCCTCACAGCTGGGACCAAAAATAATTAGTGTGTGTGCTTGTGACAGCCACGGCCCACATTTGTTTATACTTTTTTTTTTGAAGACACAACAGCACATTGACACCTAAATTTGCGTAGATAGCAATTAGCACCGCTTATCACTAAATCCACACACTTCATTGGATGTCTAATGAGGCTTTCCTTTGGGAACCGTGACTCACTATGGGATTAGCTTCTACACTGCAATTCTGAATCACACAATTTATTCTGCTTAGGCATTCTGCAATCTATCCAGATACTTGAGTGACTGACTTTATTCAAAATCATGCCACAATCGGAGAGTTTTTATTTTAGAAAAATGTTTCAATGTGCTATTACTGTCTGTTAAGCCTCAACATTTACTCCTGCGATCATTAGTGGCAGAAACCAACTTCACAGTTATCAATTCAAAGCAATTTAGTGCTTGACAATGAAGCAGAGAGCAAATCGTTTTGGAAAAGCTTTGTGTTGCACAGCCATTGCCTCGCTACACTCAATATGAACACAGTAACTGAGCATTAATATTCAGTGTGTGGTTACATTGCCTGTGCTATGCTAACAAGACAAGTATGGGGCAAGATAACTGTAGACCTTCCAAGCTTCTTTCTTCTACCAAAGACATGACAAGCATTTTAGTATGCAAGTCTGCAATGCTGAGTAGAGAAGGCACAGTGTGAACCCCTAACAGAGTGTGTTGGGGGGTTGTTTCTTGGCAGGTTATTTATCCAGACATTGAGGTGTTTTATTTATTTATTTTTTCAAGCAGTAGACGGTGGTTGTGTAGGAGAGCTCTGGTGCCAAGGGGAAGTCTTTCCCAAAGCAAGTTCATGTGAAGTTAACCACCTCTTCTACGATTCCTCTCTGAGGATCTAGGCTGCCTGAGGCAGGGGCGTGTACTATATGTGTGAATGAGCGAGTACTGCAAGGAGGCAAAGAGAAAAGGATGGATGCTATGTGCTTCACAGATTCTTTACCGCTAACCTTCATACTGCTGTTTCCTTCCACCGCAAAATCAGCAAAACAGTATGGCTTTGTCATAACCTTCACAGATAGAAGAACATGATCACCAATGTTTCTTAATAAATGCAAAGCTGCACGACCCAATTTCTATTTAATACACTACATATTCTAACACATTTACAAACATCAAAGATGATATGATTATTAGGAAAAACTGGCAGTTGCAATAAAAAATGTTCTTATATTCGTGTTATTCTTGGAAAAATAATGTAATGCAAAATATTGACACTCATTTTACTATAAGCCCTGTGTTTTGCACAGTTTTTTTTTTCTCCTAAAAAAAAGCATATAATTGGCAGGAGTCACAAAAGAGCTACAATTTAGCTTCCTGAAGTGAGAACAAAAACATAAACACATCCACTGAGATTGCTGCTGAGGCTTTTACTTGCAATCAGGTGTTTTCATCTTGTTGGATAAATAACGGTAAAATTGCACACTGTTATTTAAGCAGATGTGAGAAGTAATGCATGTCATTACAAAAACTTTATGTTTGATTTCATAAAAAGAAAACCTTGGGATGTTGAAAGTTGAGAAGTGGAATGATATAATTCTAGATGTCTAGTGTTAAGATCATCAGAGATTTTTGGGCAATCAGAGTAGAAAATGTTTGTTTATTTCACATAGCTGAAGTGGTTTATAGGTACTCAATCCAGCCACCCTGACAAAGAGTCCTAGTAACACCCATACAGCTGAAGACCTGTGAGACAAAGAGCAGATTTGTTTTTTAAAAGTTCATTTAGATGTAAATCCATGTCTAGAATAGTAGTGTATGTGTAACTTGCCATCATTCTTTTTTTTTTGTACATGTTGGTGTTGCAAACATCAGATTTAATCTGCAAGAAGAACAAAGCTTTTTCCAAGTAATTATAGCTTTTGAAATTAAACTAAAGCCAAAAATAAGAACACATAAGAGGCAAAATAAGCAGAAAATAACCACAGCCAACTGAAATTGTTTTAACTAGTGGTATATTGCTTTAGAATTGACAGGTTGTACCCCCCTTTTTTTTTTTTACAACTTCGTATTATATTTAGAGGTCGTTATAAAATATTTATGGCACACTTCGGTCACATTACAACCTGGACTTCTGCACTTTTACCAACCTATCTTCCTTTTCCACCAATTTACTATTACAAGAACTGATGGAACATGTTGAAAATGTCACACCATAGATTTCTAACATCAATTTCCAAATTAATATTCAGTTCAGAAGTAAAATAACTTATTTTGTCATTATTTCATTTGTATTTTTTAAGCTATTCAGTGAATAGAAAACAACGTTTAAACATCCATAAAAAAACAAATGTTTCCAAGCTATTATGAGCATTTCTTTCTTAAAACAGTTGCTACAATAGAAAAACGTTCTTTTGATTTGCTATTTCCAAAACCGAAGCTGGCTGTGATCAATGCTTCTCCCCCAGTGATTACAGTGTTGGATACTCTTGTTGCAAATAGTCTTATTGCAGTTTAATGATTGCTTTGATTAGATAGAGACTGGTGGGACACTGTTGAATTGGCTGTAAGTTTGTCACTAACATCTTAAGGACTATATGACTGATAATGTAATTAAATTAAATATGGCACAGGCTGAAAGTCACAGCAGTGAAGGTTTTTAATTTAGCCCACTGCCAAAGGTGAAAGGGGAATAACACATAATATACAATAACATTTTCAAGGTTTACCCAAAACAGTTTTACCTCTGCCCCCTCTTAAAATCAATACCTTAAACTTTAGCAGAAAAGTCTATGAGCGATATGCGTTTTTTTGTTTTTTTTTCAAGAAATGCAAGGCCTTTTTTAATGGCTGCATAACAATTTTTAGAGATTTTGTAAAACAAATCATACAAATAGCTTTTTGAATAAATATGGTCAAACCTTTACTATTCTTCAAACTACCCAAAACCCTACATCTGCTTTGCTGTTAACGTTTGCTGCCCCTGAGTGAGAGACCTTAAAGTTGTACCTTATCGGCCAGGACAGAGTGGGAAGGTGCTTTAAAAAGCAATATTTTTTTTATTCAATGCATAAAACCCAAAGCTGAAACGGATTGATTTGGGGCCTTGCAATCGGTTGATACCTCCCCCACAGCCGACTACTCATGTGCCTGTTTATTCATGCTGAGGTAAGCTGGAGGAATTCATTTGCTGTCAGCTAGTATCGGATTTGAGATTAGTTTTTATTTTGGCCTCTACAGCAGCTCCCTCTGCCTTATACTTGCTTCAATGCTGAGTTGTGTGTTGTCACAGGATCCTTAGAAAAGATGCACATATCACCATCTCGCAGCCGGGGACCGATATGAGCAGAGGTGGCATTCATCTTTGGACTACGGCATTGATAGGTTTCAGATTTAATGCAATACTTTTGCTTTCTTTCTTGGGTTCTCTTATGTTTTACCAGATTTTGACATTATTCTGAATTCTATAATCTTGCCCTCATTGGAGACTCCCTGTGTGTCTTATTTTGTGGCTGTTTTATTTTCTTCTATATTGAAAAAACATCATCCATCCATCCATCCATCCATCCATCTTCTCCCACTTATCCGGTGTCAGGTCACAGGTGTAGCAGCCTAAGTAGGAAAGCCCTGACTTCCTTCTCCCCCGCCACTTGAGGAGAAGGATTCCCTCCGGGGAATCCCAAGGCATTCCCAGGCCAGCTGAGAAACATAGTCCCTCCAGCGTGTCCTGGGTCTTCCTCTGGGTCTCCTCCCAGTGGGACGTGTCCAGAACACCTCACTAGGGAGGTGTCCAGGAGGCATCCTAACCAGATGCCCGAGCCACCTCAACTGGCTCCTCTCAACGTGGAGAAGCAGCGGCTCTACTCTAAGTCCCTCTCGGATGATCGAGCCCAGACACCCTGTGGAGAAAACTCATTTCGGTCGCTTGAATCTGTGATTTCATTCTTTCGGTCACAACCCAAAGCTCATGACCATAGATGATGGTGGGAACGTAGATCGACTGGTAAATCGAGAGCTTCACCTTTTGACTCAGCTCTCTCTTCACCACAACAGACCAGTACAGTGCCCACTTCACTGCAGACGCTGCACCTATCCGCCTATCGATCTCTTGCTCCATTTTTCCCTCATTTGTGAACAAGACCCCGAGATACTTAAACTCCTCCACTTGAGGCAGGACCTCCTCCCCGACCTGAAGAAAGCACTCTACCATTTTCTGGCTCAAGACCATGGCCTCGGATTTGGAGGCACTGATCCTCATCCCGGTCGCTTCACACTGGGCTGCAAACCACTCCAGTGAAAGCTGTAGATCACGACCGGATGAAAAAACCATGTTTAATACAATTTTATCTCATTTATAGGTTGTTCTTATGTTCTTTGGGTTAGGATGAGGAAAACCATAAACACTCCTGTTGCTAGACCATCACAAAAAAGGCACAGGCATAAATGTCATAACGACCACTTATTCTGTCAACTTCAAAATGTGTTTGAATTGTCTGGGACACAAGCAAATGCAGCGTCAGGTTCACAGTGGTTCTGATGATAGTTGGTGATGTTTGGAGAGTATTCTCTTCCCTTGTCTATGGTTGGATTTGGGTTTGAGTCGTTCCTGTTGCTAGGCAACGTTACCAAACGGAGTCCTGCTGATCAACAGCTGTCTGATCTAGAAACCCCATTTACAAAAAATGTGCTTTTTTTAATGCAGCACAAACCTAAATCATTATATTTAATAAATATGAACCAATCTAGATTTTACCATCCCACTCAACAAAAAATTAGGAGAGAAGCAAGTTTACTAAAGTGTTACATCAACCTTGTTTTTAATTACCCCCATTTTTTGTCAGGTGACAGAGAACACTACATGTTTTTTGGTTGCAGCTCAGAAATCAGGTGTTGCTGCTTGAATCCTTGTCTTCATGATAAGCTGCATAGAGACAGCTCTATATAACTCAGTCTTACAGCAAAACATGAAATACCAGTTTCATTGCCCCTGATTCTCATAAAAAGCAGAGTGTAGTCAGAGTCACATTTTGGATGTCAAATAAGGATTTATTTTTTTTAACCTCCACACAGGTCTTTTCAGAAAATGTTCAAATGATCCAATATTTCCACAAAAAATAAAAAGGTCAGAAAAAGCCAAAATGCTAAAAACACGGTTATTCTGCAGGACTTTTTTTTCTTTCTTTCACTTTTCTTCTTTTCCTGTCTCATCATTTATCTCACGACTCTTCAGATTTTGTGTCCTTGTCCTATTGACTGTATATAAATGAGTTCTGACCTCATCTCCAGCATCCACAACAGTAATATGCTGCTTGATATTTCAGCATTAACATTCAAATCATGTAATTTATTATAAAATATAAAGCATAACGACCAAACCATACTTTTTTCAACCACTGAAAAATGTAGCCTTCAATGAAATCATCTATCATTTTAAAATGGGTTATGATGATTCATCTCATGTATGCCCTGGGCTTTATCATCCCTCTTAGTTTGTGCATTGCAGGTGTATCAATATTTCCTAGACAAACAAAGGTGACATGGACTGATGTGTCTTCTGGTGATCAGTCAGCTTGAAGGGACACTTTATATGACAAAGCTTGTAATTAGGTTGGTTGTCATTTAATTATAACATTGTTTGAGGTTTATCCTTGTGGACAGGAATAATCAACAAACAAAATTTCTTCTTGAACATTTTGAACCTTTCAGATTTATTTTTCAGTCTCTGGGTGAAAGCTGTACTCCCTGAATCCCGTACTCCAGAACATGATAGATATCGCTCATAAAAAATTCTCTCTGCCTGGAGAATTTTCCTACATTTGGACCATCACACAGATTCAAATACTCTAACAAATAATAATAATAATAATAATAATAATAATAATAATAATAAATTTCCTATTTATCTCAGAATAGAGTGTTTATTGTAATGAGCTGATGGCTGCTGTTATGGTGTTGGCAGACATTATGCCTTCACATGCATTCATGATGACCAGATATAAAATGTCATATTAAAAAAACATCGGGCATCTGTTGTTCATGCTTATTTTTGTCCCCCTGTTTAAATAAAAGTAATAAAAATGTTATCAAATGTCTCAGAAAGTTCAAATTATTATTTTAATTTCCATCCATCCATTATCTTCTGCTTATTCTGGAATCGGGTTTTGGGGGCAGCAACTTAAGCAGGGAGGCCCAGACATCTCTTTCCACAGCCACCTCTTCCAGCTCTTCTGGGAGGACTCCAAGGTGTTCCCAGGCCAACTGAGAGTCGTAGTCTCTCGAATGTGTCCTGGGTCTTTGCCGGGCTCTCCTCCCAGTTGGACATGCCCAAAGTACCTCCCTAGGGAGACACCCAGGGAACATTCTTACCAGAGGTCATGACCATAGGTGAGGGTAGGAACTTAGACCGACCTCTAAACAGAGAGCTTTGCCTTACAGCTCAGTTCCCTCTTCACCACAATGGACTAGTGCAGAGTCCGCAATACTACAGACGCTGCAACAATCCGTCTGTCAATCTCACGCTCCATTCATTCCTCGCTCATGAGCAAAACCCTGAGATAGTTGAACTCATTTCCTTGAGGCAGAACCTCACCCTCAACCCAAAGAGACCAATCCACCTTTTTCCGATTGAGGACCATGGCCTCAGATTTGAAGGTGCTGATTCTCACCCCTGGTAATTTAACTTTTTCATCAGACATTTCTTTGATGTAAAACAGCCCTTGATGGATAGGATAATAATAGCTTAAGTGTTAAGAAGGCAGCAGCAATAATACTGTGAAAGTTGGATTCAGGGATCTTCAAGTAGCACTTTTGATTTGTTCTGTCACAACATGATTTGATTATATCTCATATTCGGTTTAACATTTTGATTTTCACTTTCTTTTTTCTCATATTTTGTCTCCCATTTTGTAAAAATAAATAAATAAATAAACTGGTCTTTAAGTATTTTTGTCAGAAAAGCATCAGTCTAAAATGGGGTTCAGTTTGAAAAAGGACATTTTATTCTTAGTCGTTTTTGCATTTTTCATTGGTTAATTTTTTTAAAGTAGGCAGTTCTCAATAAGATTGATATACTAATGTTTATAGGTCTGATCTGATTTAGAAGTACTTCAGGTATCTGCTTTTAATGATTTCTGATGGCTGATGGGTCTATTTCAAGTAGAAAAATGTAGTGTAGTAATTCACACTTTTCACTTTTGCTTCCCAACAGAGAAATGTTTAAAGTGTTTTGTTTGGGACTCACCAGGGCATCAAAGCTGATGTATGTTTTTTGGTTTCCCACCCAGGAAGTGGAGTCCTGCTAAAGCCTGTCTTCACCAAACAACCAGGCAGTGTGGTTTTTCCTATTCAAGCAGGAGAGATACAGAGGGAGGTGGTCTTTAGCTGTGAGGCCCAAGGACATCCATCTCCCTTCTACAGGTAACACCTGCAGACTTGGATTTGTTCACATATGTCGTTATATTCTTACACAGAACCTTCAGGTAAAACAGAACTACCAAGTGCAACATTTGCACTAAAACCCAACTGGGGCTAGATTTATTGCTTGGGGAAAACTATGAATTTGTGTACCATATGGCTTGCTGCTGATTGCTGCCTGCAGCACTTAGAGGCACTGTCAGTCATAGTTAATTTAAGAATGATTAATTCATTGGTCTCAATGATTGGTGTACTTGCCGTGGCAGTGAGGCATTGATCCCGAGTTTGCTTTGAGAGCTTCCTGTCATCCATGTTATTGACCAGTAAAAAGATTGAGGGCCTTCCCACCAAAATGATAGATTTATGGATTAAGCTAAATGGAAAAGCAGTGAATATTCCAATGCAGGAGTGATTTTGCAAGACTTCTTTCCATCTCTCATCTTTTCGCTTTCTATCCAGTTGCTGAAGGCAGCTCATCTATTGCCACAGGGCTTCAGATTCCAAAGTTATCTCTAAATAAATACACATGATGCAAATCAGTTGACAGACTAGGGTACAGGAAAAAGTTGTCACTGTTTGTGTTTGTCATGATTCTAGTCCTGTGTAGCTGAGCAGTCCCCCAGCAATTGTGCTAGACATAGATTGATGAGTTCCTTCACCACTACAATGATGACAAATTAAAAAATGATAACAAACAAGGAATTACTTTAAAGTGCATCAGGTGCATAAGCTATTAATTTATAATTTGTCTCATGGAGCTACACTCCTGTCAGTGTAATTAAATGCAAATTTCAAACCAAGCATTTAATGTTTAATAGGTTGAAACGAACCTTCCTAATATCAGTGTATGCAGCCGTTAATGTGGCTTGAAGATCCTTGGTGTTATGGCTAATGGATACAAATTGAAATGAATGTACAAGATCCCATCTCTTTAATCGTCTTGAATACTTAACCAGTCTCTTTTTCACTGTCATGAAAGTACAACTTTTTAAATGAAAAGGCATTATGAGTTCAAATCTGTAAATTGTTCTGCCCTGCTGAGTTAAGGTTCGAAATTTGTCAAATTTAGTTTTAATTAGCTCTTTAATTACAGGAAGTGGCGCCAAATGTAGCGGTCTGCATCCTTCATTAAGAAGTGAATTTCAGATTGATGACAAGCTGCCACAATATCACATGCTCATCTCCTAATGATCAGACTGATATTTAACTGGACTAATTGCTGTTTCATTTCAGTCAGAAGCAGCTATGGATTTTTTAAAAGGCTTTGGGGGTCCTTGAGAGGTTCAGTGGCAGGCCACCAGATGCTGAGTGGTACTTGATTGCTGCAGGTATATTTCAGGGGCTACAAGGGCAAATCCATTTGTTTAAGACAACCCAGCAATCACAGGGCTACAAAGAGCCTCCTCCATGCTATCTGCATGCTTCCCATGGTGTGGCTCTTCTGAAGCTCTTGGCCTGCTTCCAGCTGTGATCACTAAATCAATTCAATCAGACGATTTGCTGTTGAGCATCGTTCCACAGCATTTGTCTTAGCTACCCTCCTTCCTTCACCCTTTCTCCCTGTTTGTCTAAATAGTTCCTGCTATAAAGGAGCAGTGATACTCTAATTAAACCAGGAACTTACATCAAACTTGGTCTTATTTCATATATGAGCAGTCACCATATGTATAGTTTAAATTCATTTTTTAACTCATTACTTGCTCCATAAAAGTGCAATTTATCTTGTCTTTTGCCTGATTTTAAGACAAACCAACTAGGGCTAGATGATACGGAATAAAATATATTTATATTTTTGTTTCAAACAAGCTTGGTTTTGGTCAAGATATAGAATTTGTTTATTCTGAGTTGCAACTCTGAATTAAAGTTAGTACAATTGTTCTGGTGTGCTTTACAATGACATTTACTGTAAATGCATGTACAGATATATTTCTATCCACATCACGCATCATTACAGTAGCAACAGAATGGTTTGATGTTTCCTGTCTCACTCTTGTTTGCCTCAAGTACATGATGATTTTTAATGGAAACAACACCTTTTTTTTTAAGTGAACACATGCATTTAATATTAAGTGATTAAATAGTGTGAGTTCCTTTTGTTTTTCTGCCTTGTGATATAACAAGTGCTGTTTTAAAATTGCTGCATTCTTTTTGTCTGCCTATTTATTTATTTATTTTTAGGAAAAAAGATCTCATATTAGTTATGAAAAGGCTGTTAATATTGCAGCCAAGGAGTACAGAACACAATAGTTCCACTCATGTGTCTGTAAATTAAGAGATGATGGGATGCTGTATGTCTATATGTATGTCTGTAATTGCCACTCCCCACTGTTATAAAATAAGGCTAATCCATACAACTTAAAAGAAAAAACATACACCTTTAAAAAAATAAAGAAAATTGGGTCGTAAAGAAATAACTCAAACAATGCGTTTCAGTAATAAACTGCTGCATATTTTATATAAAAGACAAAATTGTAAACCCACAACTTGCTGTGGAGTTTTTGTTTAGGAATATGCTCTATAGGTTCTATTAGGGGATTTGATAAAAATGTCTTATTCTTAATTCATAGGAAATATGTTGATTTGATCAATAATTATTCAATATGGTTGTTTTGCTGCCAAAAATATGTAATTTAATCCAATTTTAATAAATAACCCAATTTTATATTTGTCTCGTTGCATTTACAAAGTAAACAAATATGATTAAAGAGAAAATATGTGCATATGAAATGTATTATTAGCGGCAAAAAAAAGGAGACAGAATGTAGTCTAGAAGACTTTAAAGTTGATTAGTTGTGTGTCGTGTGCTTTCTATCACAGGTGGAAACTTAATGACTCCTTCATCCTGCCCAGTCCGGGGTCACGGCACTCTCTCATGGGTGGAAACTTACACATCAGCCGTTTGAACAAAGATGAAGATGTTGGCATCTATCAGTGTCTGGCATCAAACTCTTTTGGCACGATTGTCAGCAGAGAGGCCAGTCTCCACGTTGCATGTGAGTTCACTTTAGATATTTTTGTGATACTTATTACTGTTTATATATATATATCTATATATAAATATATATATATATATATATAGTTTTAGTTCTTCTTGGGTTTTAGCAGTGGGAAATTGTGATTGCCTCTACCCCTGCTGAGTCCTTGACAGAAATGTGAGCAGCTGCACTCAGACAATGAGCAAAATTAAACACAATTATAAGAATAAAAAGTAAATTTATAGTTTTCACTGCATCATGAATATTTCAGCATTTATAAGTACGACTCTCTTATATAAGTGTGTTCCTCTAATAAAAGATGGTGTAAGCAAGATGTTATTTATTTAATATTGTGTTTTTATTGGTCACAAATACATTTTAACAAGCAGATATATGTCTTTTAAATTTGCTTCATTGTCTGGAAGGAGGGTGGCACGGTGGCTCAGTTGGTAGAGTTGTTGCTTCTCAGCGAGAACGTTGCCGGATCAAATCCCGACTGGGGACCCCCCTGGGTGGAGCCTGCATGCTCCCTCTGTGCATGAATGGCTTTTCTCCATGTACTCTGAGGACTAACAGTAAACCAAAACAACAATAACATTGATTGTCCAAATGTATATCTAATTAATACATTTAATTATTTTTTAGTAAACCACAGTAATGTGTGATTTAGTCAAAGGTGTTAACTAATAAAAAAGCCTGAAGTAAGCTCCGGAGAAATCAGGGAGATTCAATGAGTGATACAAAATTGAAAAAAAAACAAAATAATATCCTTCCAGATATCTATCCATCCATCCATTATCTGTACCTGCTACTTCCTTTTTGGGTCCAGGGGGTCACTGATGTCCATATCCAGCAGTCACTGTGCGAGAGGCGGGGTACACCCTGGACAGATGTTTATCTTTTTTGTTCACTAAACTTCCCACACCTCTGTGATGAAGACTGTTTGAATGGTGGACCTTGACAAACACCACATATGAAGCTGCATTCATCACATTTTATAAGACCAGAATCTAAGGCATCTCTTTCTAGCAAGGTGAACTTTAGGTCTCCTCTCTTGATGGGCAGCCCATATCAAATGACAGCCCAGATATCTGTGAACAGATGGTGCAGCTAGATTGAATTCTCATGTCTGTTTCTCTGCCACAGCAGACACATGGGTGTTACTTGGTGACAGAGCACCAGAGATATCCATCTTACCACCATTTGGTGCACCTTTGTCACAAAGCAGCATTAAATCATCTACATATAGAGCAAATATGTATCCTGAGCTGCTGGAGGGCTGTTTATGATTTTCACATTTCCTATAAATTTTGGGGGCCTCTCCTCAACTATATGTCACTGTGATCGGTTTCACCCATCGCCTGGGCCTGACTGGAGACCCGCTGCTTTTGTCAACGGATGAGAACAAGCATTGGTGCTGATGTGTCATTCATCTTATTTATTGCTCTTGGTTTAACTTAATTAAGTGTGCTGTGTGATTGAGCGGGTCTCAGGTCAAGGGAATAATTCAAGGAGGAGCAGTCTGTTATGAGAGTCAGCATCATGTCATTTGTAACAAACTGACTCTCAGGAGCTCAGTAGAGTTTTTCACACAGCAAGGGGCTTGCACCTCTTTTAGTACCATAACAAGTGAGCAGGTGAAACTAAAGCAAAAGTCATTAATGAAGGAAATATTAGGCTTTGAAATAAAATTTTACTGGTAAGATCAAGTTCTATAGTCTTAACTGCAAATGCTTTTAAGCACAGCTGCTGTAGCAAATGTAGAACACTGAACACACCAATCCTGTTATTAAAAATACAATTTAACCTATTTTAATGGTGTAATTTACATTTGGCAAGTTATTCATGGAAATTCTTACTGCTGATGAGAGTCTTTGATTTACACCTTCTACCATTGTCCCATTTGATCAAAATTGCACTGCATGTTGTGCATGCACAAGAATTAAGGATACATTTTTAATCCTCTGAAAGACGGATGACATAATGGGTTCTGTTAGCATCTGTTATGGGCTCAAACCTTTAAAAAAAATAAAGGTTCTTTATCCCGTTGACAACACACACTGTTTAAAAGGTTCCTTTCGTTTGCTGGAAGTGCTGGAAAGAATAATCTAGTTGTTTATCGAGCATCAAGCCAGATTGAGTTTCTTAATCTTGTTGGGATTTTTTTCCTCAACAAGTTAAAGGATTTTCGCTGATGTAAGATGCAACATTATACAACAGACCTTCAATAGCGACCAGATGCCTGCTCTAAGAATGAACATACTACAGCTCAGCCTCTGTGCTACATGCAGAGACGCAGGGGTGTGTGTTTAATGGTGGGTGAAATAGCTGTATTTATGATCGCAGTGCTGGGTTGGTCTGCCCTGTATTTTGATACCCATAATTTCTGATCAAATTCAGTCTTGTATTTTCACCTTTTTCTGGCTTTAGCCTGTACTTACTTGGAAATTATACATACTGTTTGTGCTAGTCTCTTTTATTTCCATCAACAATTTGCTCCTTTTTTCACGGCTTCTCACTCAGGTAAAAAAAAATTAGGCTTGTTTTGAACTGGATTGCATCTAAGTAAAGGGCAACAGCATTTCCTGTTGAGCACTGCTTTTTCAGGTGGTCAATCTGTGTCTCAGTTTATCTTTGGGAAAGTCAGAGTGGTTGTTATATAGCTCCCATTCAAGCAGAATTCATTTTAGGGCACAAAGAAAGTAGACAAGTTTAATGTTCATGTCAATAGAATTATTATTATTTTTTTTTTGAATATCACTACACTCCAGTTTAATTCAAATATATTTCAGTCTAGTACAGTAAGATTCAATAAAAAAATATATATATAAATACTTGAAAATCAAAATCCATTTTATCCAATTTAGTACATTTCAGTTCAGTCCAACTGCAAACCAAATTTATATTATTAGGTATAAAATAGTACATACAATGAGTTTTTTTAATTTAAAGCAAACAGCTCAAGACACGACTGGTGCTAGATCAGTGAGAGTCGTGAGTGGGAGACAGAGGAGGAGCATTGAAATGTGGAGGAGAGTGAGTTAGCACCAGGTGTAAATAGCTGGGTCCAGCGTGAGTTGTGGTCGTGACAGCAGCTCGTATTCTCTACGTTTTATCTATTTTTTTATTGTTACATTAATAAAAGCTCTGAGTGCACATTTGGCTCTGACTCCTGTTCTTTGCACGCTATGGAGCATTACAGTATATTGACAAATTCAACATATACAGTACCTGATGACCCTAGAACTTACTGAACGTGTTCATAACTTACAGCAAACATATTTGCCAGCATTTTGGGGTACAGCCATATAAAGGGTACAAATGATTTTCATTATCACTCCTGCTGGATCCATGAGGTGCAGAGGTCACAAGTATCATAGAGATGAAGGTTCCTGCTGCAGCTTCCTTGATCATAGATTTTTTAAAATTTCTTCTGAGGCATGTTGATCAATGCTAAATTAATGACTGGGTTGCAGAGTGCAGAGAGCTGCCCTTTTATATGTGATGTCACATTTATTGTTGCCATCTGCTCCAACATGCTACGGACAAGTTCAATATAAGTTATACCAACGTTGTGCATAAGCTCTGAATAAGTCAGGGTACTCATAGGCTATAAATAAGTTATGTGTAATTGCTCAACTGTTTTCCACCGTATGAGTGACTTACATGTAATGTGTGAACTTAATTTACCTGTCACATATCTGCAATTAATACCTAATTTATGAGTGTGCTGTAGAGAACTCATATCTCGTTTATGTGACTTACACCAGCATGCTTGTCTGTTTTTTTTTTTTTTTTCATCCTTTGGCATACGCTGATGTCATTGTGTGACAGAGCCTTAAGAGAAAAACAAGTTTTCTTTGAAAGTGTATTAAACATTTGACTTCTTGTCAAACTTTGTGTGGGTTTTTAAATATTATAAGTTCATTGTATTTTAGATATATAACCTCTGAAGCCCACAGCCTTTTGTCAGCCTCTATCAGTACATTTAGCAGAAGCTTATAGGGCAAAATTATATCAAGGCTATACTTTGCCAATAGCATTTCAGAAAAGCTTTGCAACTTCTGTATGCCTTTTGTTCAGTAGCAAGGGGAATAAATGTAACATCGTCCTCAAACTCACATTCCTGCAGAATAGTCTCATTTTGCTTTTCTTGAATTGCCTCCTATTCATTACAGCGAGTCACATCAGAGCAGCTAGCCCAAAATGCAAATTTACAACCAATTTCATGGCCCTGAAAGCACTCAAAATAGCCTGAACCCTGCCATGGCTAAGCACATGGAGGTGTAGAGCTGTGATAGGTTTGATAAGAGCATCCATGCAGTGTTGAACAGCTTGGATTGTCAGGCATTGTTGGCTTTTGGTGTGTCTAGCTCATTAACGTCCTGCAATACACCAAAGGAATATTGATACAGAGAGTTTTGTACTCACTCTGAGTTAAGCAGCTCTGATCATTTTTACAGTGTGATCCTAAACAAAGGTAATATTAGATGCTGTATAATATGACACTCCTTGATGATAATATTATAAAATAACCTTAGAATTGTGGTAAAACACTTCCCATACAGTTTTTTTAAAAGCCAAAGCTTACTCTGCCAACTATTAAACTTCAAGTGATTGAGTTAAAGGCAGCTAGTGCCTGTACTTGGTTTGACTGTTTTGTTCAATACCAAGAGAATGTGCTGGGCAAAAACAGAAATCCACAAGTAACTGGCCAGTGATTGACCAATAGTGGTGTTTGCAAATTTATCACATTTAAATCTGACTCGGACCATAGCTGGCAGCTAATGCAGATTCTTCAATGTAGAGGAAACAGCATTGTAGCAGATAGATGATGAGTGGTGACAGCCCTTCATCAACTTAAAAACATGTTTACTCTCGTTAAAGCATTGACACCAAGCTGATGCATGGAAGGGGTCCTTTAATGCTTTTACCAGCCGTCTTTTTGCCCTTTTTTCTAACAATGCTTACATTTGTGCAAAATATGTATTCACTTGTCTGTTGTACTTAAAAGACACAAAAGCTACAAGTTTGTCAATATGACTGTTAACTTAATTGTCTTTTTTTTTTTTTTATTGAATCTTATGTTTGGTTGTAGAAACATTTTCTTTCACATTGCTTTTTCTGCATAACAATGGCAGATGAGATTTATATGCGTTTGCAGAAGTTTATGAACATCTGGTGTTCTAAAAGGATTATGTCTCCGTATCAAAATTGGATTTAGAAAAAAAATATGATTCTGACATAATGCTACAGAAATAATGCAATATGTGGGAGACATATTTTGTGTGAGGAATATAGAGGGTAATAAAGGGAAACTTTGAAAACTAATTTTCAGTGGGGCAAAATAGAGCCTCTTCAAATCACTCTTCTTCATGCATTGCACAAATCAGCCATAACATTATGACCAGGCAAGTATCAAGTTTGCATTTTTGTGCATGCAAGAATTCAGAACGTTCATACTGGACATCATGGGGGGAAGCTGTGGCTGAGTGGTTAGAGCAGTCGTCCTCCAATGGGAGAGTTGGGGGTTTGATTCCACCAGCAGTCACATGCCAAAGTGTCCCTGGGCAAGACACTGAACCCCTCATTGCCTCTGTTTGTGTCTCGAATGTGATATAAATCACTGATTCTCTACAGATTCAGATTAGCTTTGTATAGATATAGTAGAGTGCTGTGTGGAAGTAAATGAGGCCACAGCTTGTAATGTAAAGTCCATTGAGTATCATGTTAAGATAGAAAGTACATACAAGTACAGTCCATTTACCATTTATCACAATATGAGCCCTTGTCTGATAGCAATATATTCTGGTTGACTAGTGTACATTATGCTCGGCTTTACGTAACTTTAAAATAAACTTTAGGATTAGAAAGCAGTCTATTACACTTCAATGACAAGGTAACATTTGTACATTGTACATCATTAGCTCACGTCACAAGTTGGCTTTTTCCTATTTTATAAACATTATTTTATTGTTGTTCAACATCACAGGTCAGGAACAGAAGCAGAAATTGCAATAGTTTAGACGACTGTGAAGCATTCATTTTGACAGAAATTGTAAATCCACATTTAAAGTTTTGTGCATTGTTCAGATCTTTTATTACTCATTCATTGCATTAGTAAGTATTAACTACAGTCAACAGACTTGACTTCTTTATAATCTTCTTATTTTAGCACACTAGTTTTAGGTGTTGCTGTCAATTTAAGTATTTTTTATGCCAAATCATAGTAACATCTTCCGCATTTTATTTTACTGGCGCTTTGGTTTATCAGCAAAATACAACAAATGGTTTTAAAGTGTTATTTATGTATTTACTGTTTCAAAAGTTTTAATCTTAACATGCGAAATATTACAAATATATCCAGACATCAGAGTAAAAGTGTGCTGCAACCTGGAATTTTATATGAAAGTTCCAGTCTAGATAATTGAGGTTTAGGCACCCAGACAGTGGGGAGGACAGACTGCAGTTTGAACTTATTACTGGATATAGTAATCCTCACATCATCAGACTCATTTGCTGACTCATCATCAGTTGAGATTTTCCTCTGGCCAAAGGTTGAAGTCCCAGAAATATACTCAATGCAATCAAATTTGAAGAAATTAATAACATATGGAAATCACTATGGGTGTTATGAAGGTATAGATTAAGCTTCAACTTTCTGGATTTTTGATGCCAATAAATTATTATTTGAGAACAGATAAAACGTGGACATATTAATTTATATTTAGTTTTTACAGTTACACCAATCAGATTAATAGTAGTAGGGCTTTAGTTAGCATTGGTCATGTTTGCATAAAGGACCAGCAACACCACATTAAAAGATAATGTCATGTGAAGATAACTACATTACCAGTTGTTTGAAGGACTGATATCAATATATTGTTGTTTTGTGTTGCCTCAGAAGAAGAAAAGATTTCAGAGTAAGCAGCTTGAACACTTCTGAGGGGATCTGTGGATGTGCTGTTGGTCTAAACGGGATCCTTGTGTTAAATCTTTTCAGTGAGGCTTTATGCAAACAGACTCAGCCATTAATTTAGTATTAGCCACTGAATTATCCGCACAATCTGTCTGTCTGCAGCTAGAATGAAAAGAAAGTAATGATCTACAAATTAATTTCTGAAGTCATACAAAAGTTTTTTTTTATTTTTTTTTTTATTAAATCGTTTTATGGAAGAAGAAAATGTAGAAAAAGCTCCTTTCATTTGTGTTAATGTAATACTTTTTTGCTGGAGGCAATTTCTGATTGCTCGCCAGGTCCGCAAAGATCATATGCTGTATTTATTATGCAGAGGCTCATCCCACTGTGCTTGAACAAAGACGGTGTCAGATTTGCATTATTTCTCCCCGTTTTCAAGTGAGTCTTGATTATGTCATTTTTATGTCAACCACATATTTGGCTGCTCTGTCCGCAGTATCTCCGGGAGCCGCAGCAGGCAAAGTGTTGAACGATTGCCGTCTCTATTTGCTTTCTCTCAGCAGGTTGTCAACAAGTAATCGGTTTCCATACAAATGATGTTTCAGTCTTTGTCATTTAATTGTTGCTGCTCTTTGTGCAGTGGATCAAACACAGAAAGCGATAACAATACACTGTTTCAATTAAATTCACTCATGTGTGACTTATGCTTGAAAAATTGCTTTCTGCTAAATTCAGAAGCGTTATGGACTTTAAAACACAATGTCTTCATTTATGCAAACACACCATAAGGGTTTTAGGATGAATTCACAAATATGCTGCATTTTATTGCAGGCTTAGCTTTTCTATAACTTGGTTTAAAAGGACTAAGCAACTACTGATGTAACGCCACAACTCATTTTTAATTTGACTTTCTAATTTTTCATATTGTGTTTTTGTTGTGTGCGTCCAGTGCGCTTCTGTTTCCTGTGAGGAATGGATTTGTTATATTGCTTTATAGCCTCTGTTCTATGCCCAACAGACCTGGATAATTTCAAGACACAAAGAAGAAGTCCAGTGAGGGTTCGTGAAGGTCAAGGAGTGGTCCTACTGTGTGGTCCACCTCCTCACTCTGGAGGTAAGATTCTGCTCAGACGTTTTGTTTTATGTGATCGAATCTTTAGAGGTGTGTGTATATTGTGGATTAATTTGCATTTTAGTAACCATGAAGAAAAACAACCACTACTTTACCTTTTTCTTTTTTCTTTTTTGGAACATAAATGACAATTAGCCATCAGCCATCATTTCTCACATTTCTCATTTGACTTTTTTAACTGAACAAAATAGAAGTCATGTTTGTGCCCAAACCTCTTGGCTTGTTTGTCTGTATTGTTGAAGTCAGTGAAATGAGTCATTTTACTGTGGTACACTCTTGCCTGTCAGCCTGATTTTCAGTGGGAGTGAGGAAAATCTTTGGCGTGCAGACTGGCAAAGATATCTTTGGCTGGAGACCTGCCAGAATGAGTAGCAGAGTAGAGAGAGCTTCTCTCTGAAGGTGTATTGCCTGCTTCGTATTATCCCTTTGCATTCATGATGTTATCGTTGCAAGTTAGCATCCAGTTCTATTAACACCTACTCACTGGTTTTAAGATGAGCTTTTGCCAGTGATGCTGAAGGTCATTATCAGCTGTATATTTCATATTTGAAAACATTCAAATTAAAAGTAGACGGACTACATTCATTTTGGAATGGATCAATCTATTTTCAGTGATTAGCTGTGTAGCACTGGATTTTAGGTTGCTGTAATTTGGGAAGACAAAAACAAACGCAGCTTTGTGAATAGTTACACTGAAACATTCTGTCAGAGTTTATGCCTGTATTTAGAGCTCATAGCACAAGCAGTGATAAAAGTTAACAAACATACTGTCATGGCCTCAGACAATAGTCCTTTGTCTGCACTTGTTAGATCTCAGCGCTGCAGTCGATCTGATCAGCTGCAATATTTTACTACAGTACCAGATTAAATTATAATTGGTTTAAAATGAATTGAACTAGAATTGACTGAATCAGGTTGCATTTAACTGGATTTGTATTGGAGTTGTAGTTTACTTTTGCATATTATTCTGAGATGGGAGCGTGGTGGCACAGAGGTTAGAGAAGGTGGGCTTGTGATCAGAAGTTCGGCGGTTCAACTCCCGGACCAACATCAAAAATGTGTGTGGGAATGATGAAACACCCACACCTGTCTCCACCCACATATGCCCCCCTCTGGGCCCTTGAGCAAGGCCCTTAACCTTAACCATCTGCTACCCCGGGCGCCCTATGGAAGAAATAAATAAAAAAATAAATAAAAAATAAATAAAATAAAATAATAATAATAATAATAATCTCTCTCTCTCTCTCTCTATATATATATATATATATATATAT